TTAAACTTATTTTAGAATCATAGAATCAACTAGGTTGGAAAAGACCTTTAAGATCACCAAGTCCAACCATTACCCCAGGACTGCCAAGACCACCACCACGAAACCGTATCACTGAGGGCCTCATCTACACAGTTTCTTAACACTTCCGGGGATGGTGATTCCACCATTTCCCTGGGCAGCCTGTTCCAATGTCTGATCACCCTCTGGTGAAGAAATTTTCCCTGATGTCCAATCTAGCCCCCCCTGGTGCAGCTTGAGGCCATTTTCTGTTGTCCTATTGCTTGTTACTTGAGAGAAGAGACCAACCCTACCTTACTATAACCTCCTGTCAGGTAGCTGTAGAGAGTGATAAGGTCTCCCCTGAGCTTTCTCTTCTCCAGACTAAACACCCCCTGTTCCCTCAGCTGTTCCTCATCAGACTTGTGCTCCAGACCTTTCATCAGCTTTGTTGCCCTTCTCTGGACCCGCTCCAGCCCCTCAATGTCCCTCTTGTAGTGAGGGGCCCAGAACTGAACACAGGATTTGAGGTGCAGCCTCACCAGTGCCCAGTACAGGGGGATGATCACTGCCCTGGCCCTGCTGGCCATGACTATTGCTGATACAGGCCAGGGTGCCATTGACCTTCTTGGCTGCCTGGGCACAAACTGGCTCACGTTCAGTGGCCGTCAGTCAGCACCCCCAGGTCCTTTTTTGCTGAGCAGCTTTCCAGCCACTCTTCCCCAAGCCTGGAGCGCTGTATGGAGTTGTAGGGGCCCAAATGCAGGACCTGGTACTTTGCGTCATTGAACCTCATACCGCTGGCCACAGCCCAAGGGTTTTGAAGATGGAAAAGAATATACCAAGCAAACAATGGCTTAAATAGATCAAATAATTTTCATAGGACCTTTATTAATGATAATAATTTAAAAATCACTTATTATTTAGGCCAACAATATCACATGCAGAAATCCTGGGAAAATGTTTTTATTAAAGTGAGCTAGCCTGCTAGGGATGCCAGCCCAGCAACCAGGCCACGTTTGCTCCAGAAGTATTGGGCATTTAATAATCCCAATGCATTTAATAATCCCAATGCACCCTCTGCATGAAGCCCAGCTATTAAACTCTGCTGCTTACACCAAGGGGCTCCGCTCCCACCACCACCGCCCCGCCTCGAATCCCGGCTCTCCACTATCAAGTGCTAGTCGCTGTCCTGCCCAGGTTCTGCCAGAGGCGGACCCCCGCCCCCCGTCGAGGTGGCCCATATCGGGCCGGGCGAACCCCGTGCCGAGGCCCCCGAGGGGAGGCGGGCAGCGCTCGGGGCCAGGTCCGGCGGCGGAGCGCGGGGGCCCCCCGGTGGCCGTCGAGGGTGAGGACAGTGACAGGCGGGGCTGGGGATGTCTAACACCTCCCACCGAGCTCCCTCGGAGCCACCGGTGCGGACCCTGGGAGCGGCGCTGGAGCTCGGTCCCCGCTCGGAGGGGCTGGTTTTTAGGGAACGGGAATAACTGAATCAGATAAACTCATGTTGTTAAATCAGTTAAATGTTATTAGTGGAAATCATTCTAGACTTCGCAGCTGAAGTTGCAACTATTCCTGACAGCTGTTATGAACATTATTGGAGTATTTCAGGTTCCCAATATCCGACTTCTATGAGAAATGTGTTCAGACATCACCACCCAGTTGCAAGTACTGATACCTCTGTCACAGCAGCAAAAACATTCCCTTAAGGCAGTGACATGGATATGTATGTAGATGGAAAAGGATCACATGGAAAAAAAGCTGTTGAGGGAGTACCTGATCAGTACACGTAACTCCAGGCAACAAATCAGCATATTAGCACTGGCCACTGCCCAGACCAGACCTACTTTCTCTATCACTGAAATAGCTTTCTTCCATTGTATATGTTAAGGCATGTACTGCCAGAAACGGGTTTATCATTGCCTGCTGGCCAGAAGCTAGTGCTGCTCCACCTTGAATGTGTCTTCATTTATATCACTGTCAGTCCTCACTTGAAGGCACTGTTCACTTCAAATAGGAGTGATCTGCCCTCTCCTAACTCTGTGCAGAGCTGAGATCAGTCCCAGTCTTTAAACTGCAGCCACTTCAAACTTTAATCCTCTCAAGTGTGCTAGTTTGGAAAGCAAAAGGCAATATCAACACCTTTGGAACAGGAGGGCCTCCAAGCCCTGCACCTGTAAGTCACCGTCAGATGTGAGACCAACACCTCTCACACACAACTACAGCAATGCGCAAAGCACATAACAGAGGGCATCACACAACAAAAATGATATGCCAGCAGGAAACGGACTGCCTGGGGAGAGTTTACACCTTGTTAGTGTCTGGCAGAGTTCTTACAATGACTGTCAGGGAACTCATGATTGTACCGAGGTTCTCTCTATGCAAAATCACAGGAAGATATTCCATCTCAATTCCTGTTCTAGAAAGAGAGCTAACAAAGTGAATGCTCCTGATTGATTGAAAAACATCACTATCCCTTTCTCACCATTTCCCCCAGCTTTAACTGGAGTAAATTCAAATAACAAATCAGCATACTAGAAAGAATGATAGCTCATGCTAGTTCTGTTTTTTTGTTGTATTTGGAAGTCTTTTTTAACTTGTAAAGGTTAAAGGCATGGTCTGCAAGCCATGATAGCTTGTCATCAGCTGAAATGTTCCACTTGCTTTTGATCAAGTGACTTTGTAACCTTGTAGCTGTATTTTTCATTTAGTAGCCAAAATCGAAGAAGTCTTTCCAAGACTAGTGAAAAGCACATTTGCCTACATTACAAAACTCCCATAGTGTGCTTTTGTGAGGGCCCAGCATGACCACACACTACACCAGTCACATACTGCAATCGCTCTGCAGGAAGTTGTGCCCGTTTTCTCTCTGAAATCTGCCCTGTGATATCCCAGGTGTTTATCTGCTACCACTGTGGTTTTAACAGCTAAATCTACAATAATTCACCTTTGGGGAAGGGAATTTTATCTGCAATAAAGTACCCAAACCACTCCCTCTTTCATTAAGAAGGCGGAGGGACTGCAGAGTGGCTGGCAGGGGCTGCCTGAAGAGACAGCAAATAAAGTCAGTCTCTGAAAGCCAATACAGCAAGTATCTGTGCAGCATCTAGTTAGCGCTGCACCTTTTTTATTCTAGACTCTAAAGATAAAATAGCTATGAGTGTTCCCTCAAGTAGAGATTATCTGTGTGCCTACACATAATCAATACCGTTTCCGTATAAGATGACAGTTTACTATTTCCTATGGTTTGATCTATCTTTTTAGAAAAAGATTCAAGAGAGATGTTTTATAATACAGACTTGAAAAAAAATGAAGTTAACACTTCCCTGACAATCTTACTCTTGTCTCTTTGAACAGCCTTAGCAGTCTTCATTCTTCCTTCGATCATTCTGCATTACACCCTACATGTTGGCCCTTGTGGTTTGTCTGTGATGCCTTTAAAGCAGCTGCTGAAATCCCACTACCAAGCAGCTACCATGACCTTTTGCAGTGAAAAGCTTTTGGCTTCTACCTGGAAGGAATGAAAACCAGCCATGCAGAGAGCCCTGTGTGACAGTCCTGGGATGGTTCATTTCAAACAAACCATCATACTTACTGGGAAGCACAGTTTTAAGCAAACAGTAGAGATCCAAATTAAACAGGCTACTGTGGTTTTGGGAGCAATTCTGATACTTAGCAAACCATGGCACTGAGCAGCTCACAAATAAGCTATGTGAACAGTTAAACTTGTGCAGCCCATCACTGTGTGTTTGTATCAAAAGATAGCTGTTCAATAACTGTAGACTTTCCAAGCAGTCCCTTGAGCCTGGCAGCAAGTTTTCAAAGCTTCTCTGATTGTCACCAGGAAAACTATGGACCTGCTCTGCATGTGGTAAGCCTTCCAGAGACGAGTTGTTACCAGGCATTACCACAGGCAAAGACATCTCAAGACTCATTTACCTTCCTAGAAAGTGCATTATTGGTGCATATGAAAGGATAAGTTCTCAACTCTGTAGAGGCTTCTGATGGTTGGTTCAGCTGGCAAAACTACTGCCAAGTTTTTTAAAGCTTTGGGTTCAAATAGGTTTTTATTTGATCTGTGTTATGCGATTTAAACCTGAATAAATCTAACACCTGAAGGAAAAGTCTAAAAATAGATGAGATGCTGTTCTCATTTGGCAGATAACTGGAGAAGGTAGTAAAATGTAATATATTTGAATTAATTTAAATATTAGTTCAAAAGCATCATCAATTGTGAGGTGTTTTTTTTGAAACTCATTCATTCTTGAGTTTAACCTAAGTTTTCAAAATGGTAACAGTAATGTTAACATTGCCAGTGGTAGAATGGGAAAATAATTTTTAATTACATTATAATTATGATGATATATGATAATAAAATTCTAAACATCACTGATAAAAGGAAAAAGAAAGGTGTTAGTTTTGAAGTCAGTAAGAAATAGTTCTGTAATAACAGAAGATCAGTGATGCCACAGTCTAATTAAAAAATAAAATGTCACATGAATATCAAAGGGACATCTACAGCTCTGACAGACATTGTCAGGTATTAGTACAAGCACCTGTGTTCTTCTAGAATCATCTTTGTCTCCACTGGCTCCAAACTCTATTTTGTCACAGTGTTCATAGGAAATCAAATGCAAAGCTGGGAACTGAACCTAGTTTTACTGTCAGAGCTCCTCCTAGAGACTTAAAGTTTTGCTTATGTTATACCAGTTTGTTGGTAAACTGAGCAACTGAAGCCTGAATGAAAAGTACTAGTATTAGAGCTAGCTAAAAATTGACTTTTAATCTTATATTCTGTCCTTGTTTTCTGTCTTCTCCTTTTCCACACCTAGAAGCTTCCCCTGAGTATGGAGGAGGCTATGTGGTTTCTGTACAACAGAAATGTCACACAACAGGAGGCTGAATTCCTGATTAACAGCAGCTCATTCCAACTTTAACCACAACTATTTAAGCCAAGTAATAAAACAAAAAGAATCAATAATCCAATCATGCCTCTGTTTCAGATGGATACACTACTGATGATATTGAATTTTACTGGAATGGAGGAGAGTCAGCAGTAACAGGAGTTGATAACCTTGAACTCCCACAATTTTCTATCGTTGATTACAAGATGGTGTCAAAGAGAGTGGAATTTACAACAGGTGAGAACTGGCTAGCTAAAAAAGCTTCCCCCTCTTCCCCAGCCCAGAAATATCAGTGTCTAACTTTGTTAGGCATTAGTCATTACATGACTTCTTTCTTTCAGGAGCATATCCTCGATTATCACTGAGCTTCCGGCTTAAAAGGAATATTGGATACTTCATTTTGCAAACCTATATGCCTTCCACACTCATTACAATTCTGTCGTGGGTATCTTTTTGGATCAATTATGATGCCTCTGCAGCCAGAGTTGCCCTAGGTAACTTCAAAATCACTGAACTACATAGATACATTTTGTCTTTGAATACAGTAGCACCAAATCCAGACAGCTGATAGCAGCAGCATTAATTGTGATCTTAGGCATGCAGCACAGGGTCTTCATTGTCAGGAAGGTGTCACCTTGCCTAAATCTGAAGGTCTTGCTCTGTAGTTAGGACGGGATCCTAACTGATTTCCGATTGCCATAATGGTCTTCAGATCAGGCCAAAAGTATCTTGCTTTCAAACTGAAGCATAAAGGTCTAATTCAGGTATTTATGCCATGGTGCATCAACATTTCATTGATGTTAGAAAGTGTCCTTTCAGGCCAAATACATGGCTGGAATGAATAGACAAGATCCTACTGAAGTGAGTGGAGATACACCAGCTTACAACAAATAAGCCTGGTTTACCTACGTAGTTGGCTCTTTCCCGTACCATGTTTCTTCCTACAAGTTTCCTTAATAACCAAGATCTTAGAATCATAAAATCATAGAATCATAGAATAGTTAGGGTTGGAAAGGACCTGCCATTATCTGCACTTTAAGGAAGCTTTTCAAATGATAATGCCAGAAAGCCGCTTTGTCCCATCTCTATTTCCACCTCTGTAAATTCAACTCATTACACCTGTGCTTACCAGTTATTGTCTAGATGCATTAATGACGTAGAAAGAATCGTGCAATGGTGGATAACACAGTGATATGGAAATTATTTACTTTACTTGAAAGCACCTCTTTAACAGGAAGAGCTCCTTTGATAAAAGCATATGTATCTCTTTCTCTTCATCAAAGACCACCACTTCATCATAAAGCTTCCCTTTCTCCTTTCAATCCTCTGTTTTCAGTCGAAGGCTAGATACTTATTCAAGTTCCCCAGAGCAATGCAAGCCACCCTATTGGGTCAAGCAGGGCTATTGCTTTAAGTAAAGTCAGAAGCATTTCCTCACATAGAGAGAACAGTGACCAACTCTTTGCTATTCAGGTCAGCTAATACCACATTCCCTAGCACATTTATTGTAAAAATTAAGGCAAGATGTACCAAGATAGCTTGGGTTTTTGAAGGCTATTTCATTCACCCTTTATTGCATGGAAATACAAAGAAGGTGATATTAGCAGGCTTGCAAGGATATCTTCATTTCCAGTCCTGCAAAATACATTTCCTTGGCTGTTTAGAATCTGATCACATAAGCCATAGAAGAGCATGAGAAGTGCACAACAGGGGGCAATGCTGCCATTACAACTTTCATGCTCACTTCCCATTCTTCTTAGTCAATATCTTTTTCCTCCTTTTTCATAGGAATCACAACTGTGCTGACCATGACCACCATCAGCACCCACCTCAGGGAGACCTTGCCAAAGATTCCCTACGTAAAGGCAATAGATATTTACCTGATGGGATGCTTTGTGTTTGTGTTCCTGGCCTTGCTGGAATATGCCTTTGTAAACTACATATTCTTTGGGAAAGGACCCCAATGTCAAAAAAACGCAGGAAGGAGACCAGGACATGCTTCAAGAAAGAAGAGCAGACTGGAAACAAATAGAGGCCAGGTAAAATGTTTAAGCTAATTTTTCAAACATTATTTCTGCTGTGATAATGTTGATGTATATGATAGTAGAGATAGATGTAATTTAAACACATATGTAAAAGCATTTAAGATTGTCTAGAGAAAAAAAACATTTTAAGGAGATTACACCAACATATGGTTTATTCCATCTTCAACTGAAAACAGGGTAAGAAACTACAAGCATTTCTCTGCAGCATGGGAGGAATACAACAGGTACAAAGAAGTTAAACATTTACAATTGTGACTGTATATTTCTTTGCTGTAGAAGGTGGTATAGAAGAAATGTTTATTATATAGTTCCTCTTTACACACAGAAACTTCACCAAAAATAGAAAACAAAGACAGATGCTGTTGCTTCAGTGAGTCTTGATTGAAGCCCACATCACCGAGTTTCCAGGAACATAAGGAGGATGCTGCTAGGTTCTAATAGTTTTCACAGATGTCAGGATTTTTCCCTCAGGCTAAATTCAAGCAGGCCACAACTACCTCCAATTAAAAAGCAAGCCAGACAAACTCCAGGAAGTAATATTATGGACACTTTAACTAGGAAAATTTACCAGTACATCACTAAGCACTTGCAAACTTCTACAAAACTGTTCCATTTTTTCCCAGTTTTTCAGAAATAAACACTTCCCTCAGATGTATTTTGCCCAGTCTGACTCAGAGGAAAATACATCCCCTAATGAGCCCCAAATTTGCTTCTGTTCTCTGCTTTTCTTACAATACATTACATCCAAGTATGAATGAGATCTTACCAAGGCTGTCCTATAAACTCCTCTGTTGTTGTGGCCTGAGGCAATAACATTTGGACAAAACTGTATCGAACCTTGTGCTCAGCTTGAAGAACAAGACGGACACATAAAACTCTGACTAAAGGTAAGACTTCAGCTTGATGGATGTTTGCAATTTCACATACCTGCCAGGAAGTGCATTTCAGAAACTCTGATATTTTATTAATTCTAGAGTTGTGTTCTTTGTGTCCCAGCAGCCACACCGCTACAATCAAGCATCATTAACTGAGTCATCCTGTCCTCAATCTCAGTGAACTCATGAGCCCTTTCCTGCTTTCACCTCCTGTCCCAGTGTGTAAGAGATGCTTTATTACAGTGAGTGCACGAATTCTGTTCAGGCTTGAAGCAGTCTCCAAGGTCCCACAAAGTACTGTCCTCCACAGAGCAGAGGAGATAAGTCACCCTGTTACGGGTTGTTGTGTGCAGACACTATCTATCAATTTCTGTGGAAGTTAAGGAAGCAGGAGAAACAGCAAAACACACCAACTCTAACCAGTCACCTCAACAGCTCTGGAGATAACCCAGCCTAGGTGAGAAGCACAGCAAGAATTCATGATGAAAAGGGAAGCAACACTTCTTCAGAGGTCAGCCTTGGCGGCCTGACCCCTAGTGCACAGAACTAAGGATGAGAAAGTGTAAAGGATAAGATGCAGGTAAGCTCTTTTTCCTACACATTTGGAGACTTCTTTTAACTAAAAAAAAAAAAAAAAGCCTTAACTTGTGACTAAAAGCTTCTGTCTAAATGCTACACTGACAAAGATTATGCTGAGACCAGTACTCAGAATGGGATGGAAAGTATTTACAACCACACTTTAACTTTTCAGAGCACCACATGCACGCACCAGCATTTTTCTGACAGAAAACAGAAGGCATACGTGCTTTGTACCAGGATTTGTAAGGGTTCACACTTTAGATTGAAATTCCATTCTGAGGCTGTGTATGCTTTAAGTGAACTGACTGCTTTTTGCCTGTACAGTGCAAGTTTGTGATTTTAGATACACATATATATATACACATAGACACACACATGTGAATGGGTATCAATGGATTTTGCTATCCCACTGGAGATAACATTGATGTGGGACCCAGTGAGCATTCATTTTACTCAGCATGGAAGTGCAGATGTCCAACAGCTGTATTTCTATCTTCAGCAGGAAGAATGCACATGACCAGAGCAGTGGGACACGGAAAGGTTATGAGACCTCTAATGAAGCCAGCTCCCAGTTCCTTGCCTTCATGTTTTGAGAATTTCCACTGGTGGTATGATATCTCTACTGGAACACGGGAAAGATTTTTTTGAGCACAAAGGAAGTACAGCTGTAAGTATATACATATATAGGGTAACTTTTCCCTTTTACTCTTGACCCATACTACTTATCCTTTCAGGGACCTCTAAGCAATAGAAGATATGTAACAGTGCTTCTCCTCCTTGTGCCAGGTGAAGATATTTCTTGTTGCCATCTCACATACATGACTAAAAGAATTCAAATTCCTTCGTCAGATAACAAAAGCCTGAGATGTGAGCAACACTCAGCAAACTGACTGTGATATTAACACAGTATAGAGAAGACCAGGTGGAAAAGGAAACCATACTGCTGTTTCACATGTGGCTGTTCTTACTCTACAGTCTGAAATAAAGCCTCTCCGGTTTCATAATTTATGCCATTTTAATTTTTAATATGCAGAAAAAAATTAGTTTGTAGTAAACAAGCTTTCTGTTTCTCTGAATAAAGCATAAAGACTGTTTATATCTCCTTGTCCATTTTTCGAAGCTAGGTACCACTGAGGAAACTTAGCCAGCAAGAAAATATTTTGATAGTCTATGTATATAACTACTTCTGTTTCCCCAGACAATTACAATGTGAATAATCATTACACAGAAGATGTCTCTTCAGCATGAGAGAGAGGATGCAATCATGTGAGTGGGAAAGGGACTGAGCCATCAAGGGGTTCATAAATGGCAATACAAGGCATGGTGTCTTCTTCCCCAGTTCTGCAGAGCATCACACCCTCCTTTCAACCTTTTGTGAACCACAAAACACCTGGAATGGAAAGCAGAGACCAGCCACTGGCTCCAAGGAAAATATGCAATCTTCCAGTATGGTGGCTACTACTGTTTTCTCCTGCTGAAAGGAGAAAAAGGAATGAGTATATAATCACACAGCCAGCTCAACCCTCAAGCAAATCCACACCTGAATAAGTACACCCCTGCTGAACATAACCTGTTTCTTTCCAGATCAGATTGTGATAACACTAGTGCATTTGTTGCAACAGGACAGCTTGTATGAGTAACATGGCCCTGAATCTTTTGTATTAAAAGAAAGGATGTTTTTGTATTGAGACTAAAGAAAAGTTCTTAACCTTTTATCTCCCACCAGTTAACATAAAAAAAAGTAGAAAGTAGGTAGGTAAAAACCCATTCTGGATAGCACTAAGTAATTGGGGGTCATCCTCTTGTCAAGGAATGCCAACATGATTTTACCCTAAAGCTGACTACTTTTTATATGGTCAACACAGGACTATTGGGTTAGGGTTATTTTATTACTTTAATTGTTTTACACTTACAATATCATTTGATGCTCCTAATCAGGAATTGCATTTTCTAAGTAAACATGCAAGCCAGATTATTATTACTTTTCGTGATTTTTCCTGAGCACACATTGAAGCTTTTCCATCACTGATGAAGATTAATATCTGTGCTGATTTAGGCTTTAGGTAGTTTCAGTGCAAATGAAGAATTAAAAATCTACAAACACGATAGGGCTACAAACGTCATTACAAGAAGCATCACCACATAAAAGCATCTGAAGAATATTTAAACTATGGTAATTATAGCAGAGGACTGGCATTTCAGCTTTAGATGCTTTAACATTCTCCTCACATATTGTTCATGGTATGTTCAAAAGACAGGAAAAAAAAGCCCACAAACCAATTCTTCAGCTTTCTACAACTTTACACAAAATTTATGCATTGTACAAACAAGGCAAAATGTACACATATCACAGTATCACAGTATGTTAGAGATTGGAAGGGACCTCAAAAGATCATCTAGTCCAATCCCCCTGCCGGAGCAGGAACACCTAGATAAGGTTACACAGGAACGTTACCCACATTTATTCTCGGAATATGTTAAGCAAGAAATCCTGTTTTCATCTGAGCAATGGTCAGTTCACGTAATAAAATTTAGGACATTCCAGTTAAAAAACAATAAGGTGGTATTTGAAAGAATAAATGCATTGTATCTGAGCAAGGAAAAGATACTCTGGGTTTGATGTAGCCCATCTTTCCTACCTATAAGCGGGACTGAGACACCCTACTCCCAAGCAGACAACCAGCTAGGGGGCCAGAAAATTAGTAGACAGAGTTGTCTCTTTCACTCCCATTTTTTTGACATTCCATCCAACACAGATGTGTCAAAGACTGTGTAGCGCTGCAGTACATTTCTGACGTGGGGAAAGAGCCTCATCACTGTGACATGCACTGGAATGAGTTAAAGCCTACTGACTGTCTCTGATGCACAGAACCAACAGCAAGACCCAGGTAACCTCATATTAAGTAAGGGCAGAAAGATTTTCAAACAGCAAATTTACAGCTTTTACTGTGTGCATATTTGCTGTTATTTCATTCTAGCATTAACATAAAAAAACCTAGTAACAAATCTCTTTTGTGTATCCCTTAAGAATTTGTACATTTTCCAGATTCCAGACATGGAAACCGTTAGAATTCCTATGCTTCAGTAACAAAGCCTCAGCTGCACAAGTTTTGAGACTATTTTGAGGTGAACCTCAATAAATTCTGAAAGGTTTTTTAATAATGTGGGAAATTAACTATTAGTCCAGTTTCATGTTGCAGAAGCAGAGAATTTGACTCAGGTACATAAGAAGAGCCTTTGTGTTTTTCGGAGCTACTTCATTCAAGACCAGTGTAAGGTTCTTTGCTCTGAATTGCAATGACTGCAATTCAAAGACTGGATTGCTTTATGATGTATACAGATCATCCTGCCTAAAATGATTTAAATAAAATTCGTTCTAAAATATATCAGGTTCATTCATAAGACTTACAAGTGGGAATTCATACACTGGTTGGCTTATAATAAACTGTCAGGGCATATTAGTTTAAGAAACATCCATTTAGATTATAGGCAGTTACGAGTTGTCTTCACAAAAGAGAAGCCATAATAACTGTTTAATGATGCTTGCACTGTTGTTACTGCTATTATGACACTAAAGTCAATTAGATTAAATACTAGGTTATATAATCAAAGAGCTGGGGAAAAATATGGGAAAATACTGGAAACCTATCAAAACTTCTGAGGATTAAAAAATATCTCTTTTTACATGGAGATTGTTGCTTTTTCCACAGAAAATATCAGAACTTACGAGTAATGAACAGTCCCATAGTTATGGCAGTCCTCTGGAGAGTAGGAACCCTAGCTTAGATATTCCTTCTGCTTAAATTTGAATGTATTTTTTTCTCACGTAAAGATTGCAAACACCATGCTGATTTATGACCAGCTGGCCTCTCTAACCAAGCATATGCAAGCTTTTCCTACCAAAACAGTGGTGGGAAAAGGGATGTCTCCACTGAATGCTTATCTCAACATAAACAGAACCAATTCCTAAACCAGACTAGTGCATTTTCTATCTGTGGTGATTTATTACTCCATTTAGAAGACCTTTTTTTTTTTTTGTCTCACAGTTCTCCTGTGTAGCTTTTGTACAAATAGCCCCTTCATTTCTTTGTTTTCAGTTAGTAAGTGCTTAGTCTGGCATAGTGTAAATACACCAGCAGTCATCACGCAACATTTTCTCCTTCTGGTAATGCGAAGGAACAACTTCAGTGCTGCCAGGTGGAACCAAGGCTTCTCCAGCTTCCAGCTTTCCTCTGCAGCAATCCCCAAAGACTGGATTTCCCCATGTGCTCTGCTTGGAGTTTTTTCTTGAACATACTTCAGACCTGCTGCAGATTATTATATAATTTCCTAGCTCTGCTATGACTTACTATAAATTTAAAGCTCAGTGTGAACTAAGTATTGCGTATCACTGGTACTTCACAGGACTATACATTGTCAGGAATTACTTTTTCCTTGGTATGAAGGCATTGCCAGACAGCCATAGCATAGACTATAATATACTTAGTCTAGGTCCAACACCACAGTTTACAACAAACAGTTTCAATACTCAAGTCAAAGTCTCTGAAATTTCATTTAAAAGGTCTGTGTCCTAATGTGTATTTCCCTCATATGAGCTACAGTGGACATTTAAATATCTGGGAATTTGAAACATCTAGGAAGTCTCTATTGGAGAAATCAGGAGTCATTCTGGAAACACCAAAGACACTCTCCAAAAGAGATCTTACTACAAACAAGCAGAAAACTAAAGATGAGTGAAAAGTAAACACTTCATAGTAATGTTGCTATTAATGGTTAATTACATTCATATGTGAAAAATACAATGATATTAAAATATTGTTTCTATACACAGATCATTGTTTGTACTGGACATGTATAGACTGGTTGCAGCTTTCAGTCCTTTGCTTAGGCATGTAAAACAGGGCCTTGACTGACTAACAGCACAAATAGAGTGATAAGAATATTTGAAATAACTGCTTCTGGTACCGACATACAAAAATGCACCTGAATATAAGATTTTATTGGATAAAATGGATTATTCTATCTGCATATGGGCAAGTTAATGGTGTGCTGTTGCAAGCAGTGATTTCCATCTCTGTAGTATAGCAAACTTCCAAAATTCATTCTCATCAGAAGCATTTTACAATAACTGATAAAATGCACATGTACCTACATGCTCTTCATACAATGAACCCATTGTTACACAATAGGTTTTGAAACTAACCTACAGCACTAAAACTGTATAGAACTGTATAAAATGGGAAGAGACAGCAACATTTAATTTTCACCTTGAGTATTTGAAAGCTTCGGGTCACCAGATATTGAAAAACCAGTATTTCATAAAGACCATGATCTAACTTAAAATTAGAAAAGTCTTACTTTACAGGGGATGAGATAACTAGCTGAATTCAAAGGTCCCAGTCCAAGGAACCAGGTCAGGATGGAAGGTACTTAGATGCTTAATAGCTAATTTCACACTAGTCAGGAAAGTGTATTCAGTATCTTTTCACCTTTGCCAACGCTGTACAAAACAAAACTGTCACTGCAGCCCCAGGAGCACCTCAGCAGTAGAGCCAGAAGGTACCTGTCAGCCTGGGAAACACCTTAGGCTGACTGAGGAACTTGTCTAATTCACATTCCTTCCTTGACACAGGTTGATCCCCATGGAAGCATGCTTCTTAACCCACTTGAAATACGAAATGACATCAGCTGCTCAGATGTGTCCATGAGCCTCCGTAACATCCGCGCCACCACGTACACATACAACAGTGCCAACCTGCAGTACAGAAGAGCCACTTCCAGCAGAGACCTCTACAGTAGGAGTGCTCTGGATAGACACAGGCTTCATAAGAAAGGACACTTAAGAAGGAGGGCATCCCAGATCAAAGTAAAAATCCCTGATTTGACTGATGTTAACTTGATAGACAAGTGGTCCAGAATGGTCTTTCCCATCACATTTATTCTTTTCAATGTTGTTTACTGGCTGTATTACGTACACTAATTTATGCAATAACATTACTACAGACTACATAATTAGACTTGTCAGACTTGTTACTTTTCTTTCTCAACGTTATTAACTGAAGAACTGCAGTAGCCATAATGTTACATGCTCAAGGTAAGACCCAGCTATTGAATAGTGGATTTAAGCTTTAAAAAACAAAACAAAACAAAAACAACCCACAACCCAAATCCAGCCATCCAGCCTCATCACATTCAGAATAGTATACATCTGTTCTTAAAGAGCATCTTCAGCCAAAGTACTATACCTTGATGTTTACAAAGTGACTGCACATCACCTTTGATCTTTCTGTACCCACTTTCATCTATTTAAGTGGATTAAAAATTAGTCCTACTATATTTCTTAACACATATTGGCAGCCCACAGCAGCATGCTTCCAAAAAACAGTAAAGCAACTCAAAGAAGTAGTTATGTCACAGTCCTTCAGCATTTAGTGTACAGAAATTTGAGGAAATAACTGTTGGAAGAATTATAACTGTTATATAATGCATCATTTCAAAGTTAATAGTTACACTGGGAAGAATTTCCATAGCATCTGAGAAGTACCACTCAAGGAGTTAGTATTTTCAGAGAGGTGGGGATCTACAAAAAGAAAGAAAGAGTAGCAGAGACAAATCTCACAGTTTCCAACTAAGGAATCAGCTGATTGGATCTAAGTGGAATTTTGTTATTTCCACAAAGTAGCTGAGTTGAAATTTATGAGAACAATTGTGCCATCTGTAATTTTGTATTAAAAAGTAAATACCAAATGTGTTCATTCCTAGAAGCAACTACTGAGGGATACCACAGGCCAAGAGTGGCCACTTTTCCTGCAGCTGGCAACTGCAACACATTCTCCCAAAAGTTGGCAGATGTCTGGGAACAGACCTGAGATTTGTGCATACCCTTTCCTACAGATTTCCTTACATTCCTGAGAAACAAAGAGGTATGGCTGAGCCTTACAGCATGCTGGTGATGCTTAGTGCACTGCTGTTGTGGAGCTGCCTCTCCCAACCCAACTGCTTATCACTTGACAACTCCAGCCAAGGAGCCACAGGGAAAGTATTAGCAAAGTCCATGCAACTGAGAATCAATAGGTCAATCACCTCCTACCTGTATCAAATCCCTGTCTCTATTGCCAGGTTTTTCCTAATAGAGTTCACAGTATGTTCCCTAACATAGCATTTTATTGAAGCATAACTATTAACAGTTAGATTTTGTTTTGTATTGAAAGTGTTTCATACTTTTAGGAGAGTTTAGATATACAAGCCAACATATGTAAAAGCTGATTGTTATCAATACCAGCTAATACGGAAAAAAACATTGATGAGGACATTACAGGCAGCATTACACAAAGTTATGAGTTAATAGGGAATACAGACAAGTGATGTGGAAAGCTGCTTCATTAGTTCCTCATTGCCTGGCAGTAAGGTCAACAGATGACCTTATCCAGCTGATACTACAGCTTTTTAATCAGAATGTAATAGTAAATGAAACACTCCTACATGTTAATGTTCATCACATCCTTCAAGACCTAGACCTCGTAACAGATCAGGACCTGCCACCCCTGCCCTTTGCACAGCAGACTTCTGCAGAAACAGTCTGGAATGATAAATCACCAGATAAGAAAGGGTTTAAATTGCTCATTATAAGGTCCCTTCCAACCCTAACCATTCTATGATTACAAACAATACAAGGCTGCAAATCAGCCATTTGACATTGCTAATCTAGGGGGGGTCCTTGAGACTATCAGTTTTACTGTGGGCTCAAAAGTCCCAGTCTCATTACAAGTTCCATGGAGCAGTGAAGTAGACTCCTAGCATCTGCATACACATAGTTTTTAGTTTATGGATCATCCAACACTTTGCTCACAAATGTTAGGCAGGCGGGCTAAAAGCACTTACCTTGTATCATTCCAACAAGAAAAAAAAAGAAAAAAAAGAGGGGATATGGAGCAGGGAAAGGGCCATTAACAAACCTAGAGCAGCACAAGTGCAAAATTCCACAAAGAACATCATGCTCCAAAATAGCAGGGTCTATCCCTGTGCATCAAGAGTTCTTCAACACATGCCACCGATGCAAACCCCAGCCATGCTACCAGTTTTGAATGGCACACACCAAGCCCTGGCTGCATCAAGAGCTGGAAGCCATGATCTTGAGTGAGGAAACAGCTGCCAGCTCTTGGCAGGAAGTTTTGCATCAGAGGCTAATAAGCCGACCACATAATGAGGTAAGAGAACCCCTTAATGCAGGCTGGCAATACCTTAGCCCAGAGCCAGTATCTCCTGTATCCTGCTGATCTCCTATCTGCACACTTAACCACTAACTCTCATAAAGAAAACAGAATTTGGCATACAAGCTTGCAAGGCACATTGGATTGAAACTAAACCCACTTTCAAACCCTCAAAAGGGAATTAAAACCAAACTTTTGAACGGGGTACATAATCATAACTAGCACATAATCCCCCTTTAAACTACTCTTAGAAAGAAAGCAGAAGAAAATGTTTCTCACTTGAGAGCAATAGCTTGACAGCAAGGAAAAGGCAGTGGTTATTAGAGGCACAGACCGGAAAAATGTGTCTATTTATGTAGATTGCCATCTGGAGCTAGAAATCAGTGAGTACTAAAGAAACACAACCTCTTCCTGTCAACATATTGGAATGATTTGGCTGGCTTTTAGCAAGAAAGGTGAACAATGTAGTAATGCTAAGCTCTGTCACTGTTGTACTTTAGTAGTTAGTTTGCCTGCCCTTAGGAGCCAGACTTCATGATCAACACAGATAAAGTCCTATTGCTAATTAGGTTTTTGCTATACCTGCTTACAATCTGCATATCTGCCTCACGCAATTTGCACTAGGCGTCCTTCTTAGCTAGGTTTCCCAAAGATATGAGCTTCTACTGTTCTAGACTGCGTACAGTTGTCTCCCAACAGTACTTGAATCCCTTGGCAATTTCAACCAAAAGGTAATAGAATAGTAAGGATCTATGAGTTTCAACAAAGCAGCTCGCTGAGCAAAGGACAGAGCTCAGGTTAATCCAGCTCTCCTGTGTGGCAGAAAGGGACTTGAACCCCAACCTCATTAGTCACAAAAAATACTATTTTAAATATCACAGAAATATTTCTCACATTCCTGTGCTTTATGCTACCACTGAACAGCACAGAAATTGCCACTTTGGAGTCACCTTATTCACCCTTATACAAAATGTTCCAGCTCCTTGTACTGCAAGTGAAGGATTCCTTGAGATAAACAATGGGGAAGATCATCCAGGGCTGGGGCCACATTCCACCAGCTGTTTGTTTCCCATCACTGACGAACCTTTGTCCCTTCTCGTGAATTCCCATGTACTGAGGATATGTTCCTAAAATTGCCTTTAGTGAAAAAAAAAAAAAAGGGCTGTGTTTTACCTGTTGTGCACAAAAATGTTTCTAAATTGTTTCGGCATTACAAAGCATAAAACCCCCACAGCTGTGAGTGCACAAGTATATTTCTTCCTGCCTCATGGGCAACCATCCTGTAGCCCAAAGAGGGCAGGAGATCACAGAATATTGAGTTTCAGCATGTAATAATACCAAAATGCACGTGCACAGGGTGAAAGAATGAAGAGACAAACAAGAAATATGGCACTTCTTAGATGAAGAGCAGGTAACTTTGGTCTACTTACGGTCTTGGAGTGCAGAGTGATCTCTAATTATATTGTCTGCTCCTTGGTGTGATTATTTCTTTATAACTTTGTAAGCAATTTTGAGTCTGCAAGTTTTATAAAAACATCCCCTCTTGTCTTGTGCTGGTACCAATCTAAGAAATGGCCTTGTAGTCACATGTTTTTATTCTTAGCAAACTACAATCGCATTTGAGTATCATTACCAACAAGGACCTAAACTAATTACATGTCAGCAGAAGCACATCACCTCTCCAGAGATGGTCTCTGACCAATCATGTCTTTTAACTCATCACTGGCTATCTGTAAAGTCTCCCACAAAAGTATAAAATACCAATCACACTGCCAAAGATGCTCAGAAAGATGGCTCCATTGGTAGATGATGCATTTCAGTGAGAACATCAGCAACCTTGTTTGCACCTGTGAACATACCAGTTTTCTTGTTCCCATTTCTGAATCATCATTTGCTGTTTTGATCCAGCTGACAACATATTACCTGATTTCTTTTAGATTTTCAGAGGCAACTAACTTTGAATATTGTGTGTTGCAGCAAACAGCAGCTTTACAAATCCAAGCCAGCAAATCATCGTTTCAAGAAATAGCTGAACAAGGCTTTGGCGTAAGAATTCAGGATTGGATTTTTATAAAGGCAGTTAACAGCAGTTCTTGTTAATGCTTGTTCTGGCTCCCATTTAAATCAGTACCAACAGAAATATGGGAGATCACAGGGAAAAAAAAAATAAATACAAAAACCCCACTTATTTGATCCCTATAATCCTAGGAATCCTTCCCTGAAGACAGTCTACTACCAAAGCAGTCCCTGTGGACCTGTCGTAGTTCCCAGTTAGAAAAACCCACACACCTTCCAGTGCCTTTCATTACTGTGTTAGTTGAACTAACTAACCTGATCCTAAAAAAATCGCCAAAGCCTTCTCTACATTGGACTTCCACAGGAGCAAGGGCATATAAATAGTACTTTTGAATAAAATTCCCAACCACAGATAAAGTGAAGGGTTGAACACCTTCTATAAAGCAACTAGTTCTAGAGGAAATGGAAAAGTAGCATCAAGATAAATATGTCTATGAATAAATACACCTGATCAATTTATTCCTTACACTATTAAAAAACAGCATGCTCCTGAACTCACCACTGGACAAGCTGCAGTAACTCTTTCCAGAATTTTTATAAAGCTAAAATCAATTCCAACCTGAATTTTTTAGCTTGAATTTGGTACCATTTATGTAAGGTCTTCAGCTGTTATCAGATCCATTATCAAATTCCAGTTGTTTATGTACATTCAAGATGATGATCAATCCCTGTTAAAGAGATTGCAGTTTTTTCAGTGCAACACATTTTCCAGTCTTCCATTCTTACAACTCCTTACTCCCTTCTCCACTTTTTCTAATCTTGAATTGCTGACAGTGAACAAGATCCACATCTCACTAAGCATACCAGTATGAAATAAAATGGAAACAGACCAACTTTAATACACACACTTCTTTTTTTTTAAATGTTCTGACCCATAAAACTTCTGTCCTAGTTTTAATATTAGAAACATATATTTAGTTTTCCTATCCCTGAAGCCTGTTAAAATCTTTTTCACAGATACCTTTCTACAACCAAGCTTCTTGTCCTCCTCCTCTTCTCTGAAGTCCAATTTTATGTAGGGATATATTTTAACTTTGCTTACATGAAAACCTATGTTACAACAAAATACAGGGGAAGGAACTCAAAATCCTGATTTCGGAACTATGGATAAGTCATCAATACTTTGCCTTTTTTATATATACAAGGCATGCATAAAATATACATACATGAAGTGTGTATTTTACACCTGATGAGAAGCACAATTAGTATTTATGTAAGCATTACACATAAATTGCTTTTTACATATGTAATAATGGTTCAACAAATAGTAAAAACCGTAAAATTCCTAGTGTATTCTTGTGTTACAGATTCTAACTTTTGTACATACTACAACCAAAACTCAATCTCATTTCAGAAAAGTTTAGACTAGGATTTACCAGTTCCCTGCTGTATTAAATAGGCTGGGAATATCCTTTTCACGGTTTACATAGGTCAGCTCCTCTTCAGCACTGCACCCCCATTTGAAAACATTAACATATTGTCATGGTTTAAGCCCAGCCAGTAACTCAGAGCCACGCAGCCACTCACTCACTTCCCCTTCCTCTTCTGACCCCCACTCCTGGAGGGATGGGGAGGAGAATCAAAAACTGCAACTCCCACGGGTTGAGAAAAGAGCAGTCCAGTAACTAAGGTATAACACAAAACCACTACTGCTACCACCAAAAATACAAATAATGATAAGGGGAATAACAAGGGAAGAGAATACAACTGCTCACCACCTGAATACCGATAACCAGCCTGATCCAAGGAATGATCTAGCCCTTCCAGGTAACTCCACCCAGTTTATATACTGGGCATGACGTGCTGTGGTATGGAATACCCCTTTGGCCTGTCTGGGTCAGGTGTCCTGTCTCTCTTTCCTCTCAGCTTCCCCTAGTCCCTGGCAGAGCATGAGATTCAAAAAGTCCTTGGTCGGAGTAAACATTACTGAGCAACAACTAA